CTGGGCCTGGCCATCATCATGGGTATCATCGCCCTGGCGGGCCGGGGCTGGCTGGAGTCCGAGTCGGAGCCCTACGTGCAGCAAGCGTCGCTGTGGGAGAGCTGCACCCGCGGCGAGGAGGATCTCAATTGGAGCTGCGAGTCCCTCATGGACTATGGTGAGTGGGGACACCCCTGCCACCCTCTGGGGACCCCAGCCCCTGCCACCGGGCTTGCAGCCGGGTGCGGTGGTTGGGAAGCAGCGGATGCGGTGGGCGCTCGCCCCATCTGCAGTTACTGTTGTGGCACAGCTGCTTTCTGCGGGGTTTTTTTAATTATTTTTTGAATTGTAAAGTTAGTTTACAACCAAAATAAGAGAGCCAACTGGCCACAAGTCCCTTCTTCAGTTTGCTGTCTCTCAACTCTCTGCAGGCTGCAGTCCCAGCAGCCCTGCCCGGTGCTGGCCAGCTCCCCCTCCCTGCGCCGGAGCGCGGAAACCTTCACACAGGGCGTGTTACGCAGAGCCACACCTGGACAGCAGGCAGGTGGTCTTCCCCTGGCCCTTCGGATGGAGAGAGCGCCTTAATTTAACCCTGCCTGGCCAAGGGAACTTGGATATTCAAATGCCTCCCTACCTGCAGCTTAAAATGGGCTGCAGACAAAAAAAAAAAAATGCTGTTTCCTCTGCATACCTGCACTGGGGCTTACATCGGGGTAATTGTGCCTCTGTTTTAACTTGCTGAGCTGTTTCTGTATCTGGCATCAGGAGCGTAATATTCTTACTGCACACTCCCAGTTTCTGGGCTTTTCAGGGACTTTTTGGTTTTTGCTGGAACATGTGGGTCTGATTACATGTGCTTTTCCCTCAAACAAAATATATCTGGACAAATAAGCAGACACGCCTTAAGATCCTGGACGAGGGTGCTTTGGGGACTGGGAAGCTGGAAGGGCGTGTTTCAGCCAGGAGAGCTGGGACTGCTGCCTCGCGCACATCCCTTGCCACCCAAGTGCAGTGTACTGACTTCCAGAGCCTTTCCATTGCAACACCCGTGCGTAAACTAAATCTTGAATATATTGCAGGAGCAGTGGCTTCCTTCCTCAGCCAGGTAATGACTGCAGGTCTTACTTTAGGTAGAAGAAATCTGGCTAGAGTGACAAAAATATCTGTCTCCCCCATTAGACAGAGAAGAAAAGCTAGTGCAGTGGAGTTGCTGAAGTTTGCATTGCACAGGGAAGAAGTGCTAATACAGTAGAACTGATGAGGTTTGCTTTCTGAAACCTTTATGACACTGGTTCTCTCATCCCTGAGTAGATGGGTGTGTGCTTTGCGTCAGTACTGAGCGTTGTGGGGCAGAAGCAATTTTTTGCTGTTTTTTCTAGTTAATAAACTGTCAAAGAGGAGTAGTATCCTTGACTCCTCTTATTTAAGCTTCAGCTTATTTAAACCAAAATTTATTTAAATCCTTGGCTTATTTAGACCAGCTTGACTTTGCCTCTTCTCTACTTTTCATATCATCAGTGCCACTGTCTACTCAAATACTATTTACATCTGGAGACAGGATGTAACATATGAGTTCAGGTTTGATTTATTTTGTTTTTTCTATGCTAATGCAATTAGGTTCAAAATAGGTGAGAGCATTTACAAAGGAAAAAATGCCTAGCAGGCATTTACAGCACTGCTAGAGAAAAATAAAAGTTAATTAATTGAGATGCGTAACTTGTGTTTTACATACAGTAACTATTGTGCACTAACCATCCTGTGCCTCTCTTGATGAAACAAAAACTTCAGAGTGGATTCCCATTCATAGAAAGCTCCATTAGTCAGTTTCTTAACTGAGCTGCAGCATGGGTACTGAGAAGAGGACGAGAAAAAGCAGGCGAGTCACTTATATTAAGTGGGGAAAAAGGAGCTGGAACAGACAAACAAATATTTGCAAATAGGAATGGCTCCTAAACTGCATTGCTTCTTAATGCACATTTGCAAATGCCACATGAGAGGGAAGAAGTGTAAAGGGAAAAAGAAGAGTGGGATGTCATTTAGTGGGAAGGCAGGGAAGGATTTTGTTTAGAGCTCTAAACTGGTTTGTGTCTGGGAATTACCTGGCTGGCAGCATCTGTGTATTATCAAAATGCTGCAATGCAGGGCTGCTGTACTGCACTACAATATGACTCAAAATGACTTGGTCTGGACCATTACAGGATTAAACTGTTGACTGTGCATTTAAAACATATCAGTAAGCCATCAGATACAAGAAGGATTGCTTCCAATTTGGTTACTGGAAGAGGGTGATTGTCTTTATAGTGATGAGGCTGTAAGTTTAGGAGCAATGTTTATGGGTGGCTGTGTCCTCCTGGTTCTAAACGGCTGCTCCCAGTGACTTTGCTTTGAATTATCACTGTAAAAGTTGGGCATGTGTGCGTGCAGTAAAGGTGATCGCATGGAGGTTAACTCTTATATTCCTAACAGCCGGTTGGTATTTGTTAAGTACACAACAGCCAACTTAGAAAAAGGGAAGTATTCATCTGAATCTGTAGTAAGTGCCAAAGAAGAAAAAAAAAAAAAAAAAAAGGTGGAACCTAGAAGCCAGAGCCCAGCCTTTGTGAATCATGTTTCCCCTGGACTGTGCCACTGTACCTGTGTCCCTAGAGGCATGGACTTTGATACCACAGATTATTGGTGAAGCAGAGTGCATTGTGTTGATCTCACTGAGAGGTCTGGTAAATAAAGGAGGAATGTTACAGATACGTCTTTTCAGTACACCTCTTTTCAGGCATGCTTCTGTCTGATTTACAATGCCAGGATCTAATAAGAGGCAAAGAAACTTATAGTGTCAGCTGAGTGCGAGCACTCGGAAAATGCTGATGGAAAAGATGTAGCAGTTGTCTACACCTGGAAAGGATTTACTGCAGCTCTCCAGTAAAAGATCCCAGCGAGCAGGCAAGGCTGGCGTCCCTGCCAGTGGGCTTTGCTGGCCCTCAGACAGGCACACTTTCACTGCTAGCAACCTGCAGGCATTAAAAGTTGGAAATATACAGGATTGTGCATCTCCTGGGCTCCCAGCAGAGCCAGGTGTCTGAAGCCAGGTTTGTCCTGGTGGGTTTTTATTTAATAGTTTGGTAGTATAGCAGTTGCTTTTTCTGCACTCCTAAAACCAAACCAGAGCTGGGATTCCCAGTATTAATTCCCAGCAAACCAACCCTCCTGGCAAGCCTTTGATTCTAGCCTGTCCTGTGCTCATGGTGGGCATGTGCGTACCTTCCCTTCACCACTCATGCTACCATGGGAGTTTGCACATTATGTGAGCAAGAAAATATTACTGATAGTGCTCTCTTGCTCGTGGTCCACTGCTCCTTTGTTTCATCAACAGAAGCAGATATTTTGGGGCATTCTACGTAATGGGGTCTCAAGGCCAAACAAGAACTGCTACTGCCATTTATATACAGAAGAATATTCTAACTACAGTGTAAAAATATGCCTCATCTGTGCATGTCATGGTAAAAACTTCTACCCCAAGATTCCAGTTATTCATAAGCTAACAAACTAGCTTCTGCTTTTCTAAGTAAGTAAACAAAGATGAGAAAGGCTTGTTACTTTAAATGCTGTAGCAGTTCGTCTTCCTGATAGACTATTTTCACAGTCCTTTCATTCATTTCTAAAGGGAAAATTAGATTTAAATATCCTACCCTATAGAGCTTCTGTCTGGCTGCGGCACAGCCGAATAAGATCAGGAAATACACCTAACACTAAGGCTCTGTTGCTTTTTTTTTTTTAAATTTCATTGTATTACTGGTGCTCATCATTAACTTCAAATAATCCTGACCACTCCTAGTTACTTACACAATAATGTTTGCAGCTTTGTTCCTTTCTATAGTCATCATTAATTAAGCTATGTCATAAAACTCTTAATCCTTCCTAATAATTATAGACCTTCGGCCTCCAAACAGTGGGGTTTTTTTTAATGTTCTTTCAACACCACCTAATTGATAAATACTTTTCTGCTGATTAAGTGCAAAGAACTTGATTCTTCTTTGAGGCAAAGCCGACTGAGGGAACGCTAATACCTCCAACTGTTCTTCTGCTTTTCTGCTCTCTTACTTATGGACCCCCAAATTACTGTGGCATTATTGTTGGATTTCATAAACAGACACCATATTTATGCCTATTTTAATACTCTTTCTGCCAAATGAAGTACCTGAGAATTTTCTGGTTTTCTGGAAAGTTTGACTGGATAGGTACGGGGAGGATCCTCCATGGAGAAACATCCGTTTCCATGGTAGCCCTGCAGCATCGCCCCTGCTGAGAGGTTAACCTGTAGGTGGGGGTAGTAACAGGTGGGGGTAGTAACGGTTTGTGGGGGAAAGGAGAACTCCAGGGCTGCACCCTATGCTCGGTGAGGGTGCAGCCTCCCACCCCAACCTCTTCTATCAGGCACTTAATAAAAGATTTCCAGTTAATTTCTTGAGATTTCTCTTACACCATGTCCATATACAAGTCCAGTTCACTGCTCTTCCCGTGGCCCCACCAGTGCCTGTGTGGCAGGC